GGCAGTTATACGACGATCTCTATCCCTAACAATACGATATTAAGTTCTAATTGTCTATGAAATTCCAACCCGAGACTGATGCATTCGGACTCGACCCCCCCCCCCCCCTGACCCAGCCAAGGGACTCGGAGACAGTCTCGAAGGAATCGGAGTCAGACTCTGAACCCCAAGTCGCATTCACAACATGACTCAGGCATGCACTCTCTAATGTGGCAATGACGGACTCAGGACACACACTTAGTACTCCAGGGCTCGGACTCAGACTCAGGACGACTTATCCATCTCTGACCCGCGCCTGCAGCCTGGGGCCGCTGGTGTTGCCGTTCCGCGATCAGCCCGCGTTCGGGGTTCGTTCGTACCCGACAGCGCCACCACGTATATGACAGCCGTGACGCCCTCGAAGCAGTGAATCCACTTTTTCCGCTCCGACCGCTGGCCGCCGACATCGAACATCCTGGAGACGACGGAACGAGGGGCATGAAGACCACGAACCGTGCCATTTCTCGGCTCTCGTTGGGGGTCTACGCCAGTGGATGCGTAAGCGCCACTGAATGACGACAATGCTGCGTGAAGTGAGGTTCCGGCGCTTAACGCTTTATGATCCAGATACTTTATGACCAATACTTTATGATCCAGATACTTTATGATCCAGATACTTTATAATCCAGATACTTTATGATCCAGATACCTTCATGTGTGCAACATGGCTTAGGATTATGACTAGACGCCATTTTTTTTAAATCAGCTTTTTATGTGCTAAATATGAAGGTGTGGTGTCATTATATATGCATGCACGCACGCACACACACACACACACACACACACACACACACACACACACACACACACACACACCACACACACACACACACACACACACACCCACACACACACACACACACACACACACACACACACACACACACACACACACACACCACGCACACACACACACACACACACACACACACACACGCACGCACGCACGCACGCCACGCACGCACCACACACACACACTATATATATATATATATATATATATATATATATATATATATATATATATATATATCCTCCTCTCCTCTCTTCTCTCTCTCTCCTCTCTCTCTCTCTCTCTCTCTCTCTCTCCTCTCTCTCTCTCCTCTCTCTCTCTCTCCTCTCTCTCTCTCTCTCCTCTCCTCTCTCTCTCTCATTCTCTCGCTCCTCTCTCTCTCTCTCCTCTCTCTCTCTCTCTCTCTCTCTTGTCTTTAGCTTTTTAAAGCTTGACAGAGACATAACGGAGCCATCAATGAGGTCGTT